AGAAATCTAGTACGGTAATTAGAGCCGAAAATTCATTTGCGCATGCGTGTGAAAGATTGCATCTCACCGTATACCGCGGAATTTGAGGACGGTTCTGACTGAAAATAGCGTCCGGTTTAGAACGCAACAATAAGAGGTTGTCTTGTATGTCAGCATCACGCGGCGAGTGTAAAGGCGATTACAATGGAGTCAGGATTGGTGACTGATGTATCTCGTTGTTAACTTATGATAACACTTTAATGAAATTATGGTTTCATGTTCAAAGTCAGTGATACAACACATAAATTTAGGATGAATATGATTTAGCCGAGTCGTATAGCCCTAGTAAATGTAGATGTACTGTAGGCCTAGGCCTAGATGGACAGCCTCGGCTCGGTTCTAGCCTGGCCTGGGTCTAGCTAGGCCTAGACTAGGCCCTAATTTATTAAGGTACGTCCGGCCTAGGCCTAGCCTATAATAATGCCTACGCAGCGACAAGTGCCTCTTAAACTCTGTGCAAGTTCGCCATGTTTTGGTAACTAAAGTGAGGGCGTGCGTTCGCAAGCATATTCCCCCGTCGCGTAAACGGAAACAACTTCTGAACAGGACGGAAGCTTGGTTGCGAGTACGGTCACGGTCTGTTGGTTCCTCCGTACTGTGCGCTCACCGTCCTCAAACGAAAGCTCGGTAATTATTTACTTTGGCACGACGTCATCACAGAAGTTTGGGCGCTCGAAATTTTTCATTTCTCTGAGATCGAGGACATGCGACACCCCAAAAATAGCCTAGGAGGATGAAGCGCCGAGAAAGGATAACCGATTTTTTTGCTTCAAGGCCAGCAACGAAGAAATCACGAAATTTAAGAAGTTAGAAAATTCACACTTGTTTCCACCACATGCTCATGATACTGCCTGGCGGGGGGACTGGTGTACTTTTTCGGGCTAGGCCTAGGCCCTAGGTCTAGCGTTGCTAGGTAGGGTAGGGTCGTAGCCTATGAGGCCTATTATTTGCGAACGATTTTATTATTTATTTTGTAATCGAGCTAGCATAGGCCAGGGCCTAGGCTAGCTATAGGCTAGCAAGGAAATATACTTGGTAATGTTTTCGCGTTTCGTCAGAATTAACTGACATTATTCATAATAATATATTTATTATTTTTTCTCAATATATCTCATTTAACCAAGACAGCTCTTAAATTATTGTTTATTTTCACTGTGCTAAGTTTTTTTACATAAACTGGTTCTTAAACATGTACATTTGTAGCATTATAATTATGTCTGTTTTTTTTTTTTCAATATCACTGTGCACGTATATTTACATAAATGGTTCTGTAACTTGTAAATATAGGCTATAAAAAATTAAAAAAAAGTTTGTTTCACAATAAACATTTACGTACTAAATCCTGTATTGGAAAAAGTAGTCTTC